TTTTTTTTTTTTTTTTTTTTAATCTGCTTCTGTTTTAGATTCTGTAATCCTGTCTTTCATTCTTCTCACCACCTCTAGTTATCTGGGAAATTATTTCTATTTTGAATTTTTCTAGAACCTCATTGATCTGTTTTTTTACTTCCTGTGCTATCGGTTCAGGGTGACCAGGTTGACTGTCAGACTTTTCCACCTCATTTCCCCCAGAGTTTACCTTTGGTGAGTTGGAAGTCTGTGTTTGTATCTTGTTTAAATGCCTTCTCATTTCTATTTTTGTCGTCGGTACTGTCCTTGGTTTAATTCTGGGTGAATACTTCAGTGTTCCAGATATAGCTGGTCTTTAGGTTTTGAGTCTGTAATGTCTCTGAGGCAAATTCTTTTTCATTGTTCCGGGGAGGACAGCTGGTTAGATCAATCACACCTCAGCCCAGGTGATACAGTCAGCAGCACAATAGCATTAAGCAGAGCTTAGAAAATGAGAATTTGTGGTAGTTATTAATCTATCACCTTTAACCATGTGAATGAAATCAAAGTAGAGGACCAGCCTGAAATATGTTTATAGTGAATAAAATCTTCAATATAGTAACTTTCCTCTTCAGGATGGGGATTTAGTAGGAGTTGGGGAAGGAGGGATAAATAGATAGGATAGAGAAAGGTTAGAAGTGAGGTCAGAGGACACAGGAAGATCTCACAAACTCTAGGGAGCCGTTGAAGAGAAGATAAGACAGAACAAAATATTCCCAAGAATAAATGAAACTAACAGCAATACGGAGGCTAGAAACTGTAATCACTTTCTTTTAAAACTAATGGCAGTCATGCGTGGTGGCTCATGTCTGTAATCCCAGCACTTGGGAGGCTGAGGCAGGAGGATCGCTGTGAGTACGAGACCAGCCTCAGCTACGTAGTGAGTTCCAGGTCAGTCTCAACTACATAGTGAGACCCTGTCTCTATAAAAAAAAAGAAAAAGAAAAAAAGGCAATTGAGAGAAGGAAAAGAGAAGAAAGGGAAAAGAAAGAAAATAAATTTGAATTAGGATAGTAACATGAGCAAACAGGGAGAGTAATGAAGCTCAAGGTGGGAGAGAGAGTAAGAGAAAGAGAAAAAAAGATAAAAAGGAAGATTAAAAAGGAAAAAAAAAGAAAAAAAATTTAAATGATAAGTGAAAAATATTACTTTGAAAATAAAAAATACAGATAGAAATAGAGGGGCTCCTTCAGGGTGTGCCTCTTGCCACAAATAAACAGGGTGGGCAGGAGTGTTAGATCTTAGCTAATTAGTCTCAGCAAGCCAGCAGCTGTTCCTTGAGGTTCAGGCTCATTTTTGGCTGCAAGGCCAAGGTTGAGATCTCTGTCCTCCAGCTGAGTTGAACTCTGTAAGGGTCTACTACAGGTTCCAGCTGTCTTTCTACTGATGTTAGACCAGGTTCCGATGTGAGGTGCTGGTCCCTCTGATTTACCCACTGTGGTAGTGTGGTCTGCCTTTATCACAGATTTTCTTCACTTGTCCAGTAGGCTTCTGTTTTCTTCTGGGAACCTCAGAGGCCTTTTTTCTCCTGTTCACATAGCGGGGAGGCACGAACACCACCGCAGTGGTGCCTGCAGGGCTGGGCTTCTCTTTGGTGTCAGGTTGAAGCCCCCCCCCCACCAGTGGGTGATGAACACCAGCCCGGCTCCTCTGTGTCAGTAGTTGTAGATTTTTGTCTTGTCTTTTTCTTTACTTGGATAATCAGTCAATGTTTATTTCGGAGATTTGGTAAATTGGGAAGAGGAGGTTAAGTTGCTACATACACAGGAAGCATCAAAGTCCGAGACTTTATGATGTGAAATGTTCCATGATTTCAAAAACTACAGAGAGCCACTAAAAATCAAATTGAATCATTTGACCACATTTTGAATAATAAAGTGATCACTGATAAGTTTTTAAATTTTGAATTATGTAAAATTATAAATTGATGTATTACAGTTGTGTATGTTGTAGTGATATGCTTTATAATAAAGTATAAAATAATTAACATATTTGTCGCCTCAAAATGTGTTTTTGCAATGAGAACATTTGAAATTTACATTTTTGGTGATTTTAAAATTACAGTATATTATTATTTACTATATCCACCATGCAGTGTGATATATTTTGAAAGGAAAACTTAGTTCTACTGTCTAATTGCATAACATGTCATCTCATTCTTACTGTGTTAATAACATGTATTCTGTGGGATAGAAGTGAAGAAAAAATGACGTTGAATAAAACTAGATTTCCCAGTAATGAAGAAGTTTTTAGCTATATGTAATAACAAAAACTCTTGTCACAGTATTTAGTATTTATTGAGCAGCATATGCCATATATGGTGCTAGAGCTGTCTGCATGGTTTTCATTGGGTCCTTAGGACTGTTCTTTAGTTGAAGCCCTTGATCTCCATTGTAATGAAACAACTGAGGATTAAAGAAATTCAAAGTACAGTTAGTAGCACAGCTGGAATTTGTAAACAAACTGCCTGACTTTCATACAGAAATTGTGCTTCAACCACAAGGATCCTCTGTGGGATTTTGGGCTGAAGAGCATGTTAATTGTTGCAATTATTATTTAGATGTTTGTTCTCATTTATACTGTGCAAGAAACAATTAAAGATATTGAAATCATAGGATGGGGAAAAGGAGTTGCTTAAGTGGGCATCAATTTTGTGATAATATGGCAGGGCCTATTAAATATTTAAAGAATTTCTTGCAAGTGTAGCTGTCAAGTAGTGAATTAGAGGAACTCTTGAAATGTAGTTTTGACTTCTAGAGAATATTCTGTGTGGCAAAAGCTGTTAAATTAAGATATTTCCTTTTCTAGTGGAAAGAGTGAAAGAACAATTAAAACTTTCCTTGGAAAACAAGAATGGCATAGTGCAAACTGGTGAATTGACAGTTGTGCTTGATGGATTGGTGATTGAGCAAGAAAATCTACCGAGCTGCACCTCATCTCCAACTAGTAAGCTAAGATTATGTGTTTTTGAGATTTAAAGGAAAAATCAATAGAAGTATATAAAAATGTAGTTTATTTCTTTCTTGTTCTTCAGTAGAAATGCAGCAAAATGGTGATGCCTTACATGAAAATGGAGAGCCTTCAGCAAGGACAACTACCAGGTAAAATATTTTAGCATTTGTTTCCAACATAAGAGGTTTCAAAGATTAACTGTGTTTAGCGTTTGCCACACAATTAAAAATTTTCTTTGTAAACATGTTGTTTAAATAATGTTGGTTTTTTGTTGTTGTTGTCGTCGTCGTTGGACCATAAAAGTTATTTGTTTAAAGTGTTCATTTTATTAGATTTTAGTGTATTCATATGTTGTCACATATTCATATTCGTACGTTTCTGATTTCAGTATGTTCTTATCATCCCCCAGAGGAATCTGTCTCCAGCAGCAGCCCCTTCCTGTTCCTTTCTTCTCTCAACTTTGGCATCTAGTAATACTTTTGACATCTGTAGATTTGCATTTCCTGGCTATTTCATATAAACAGACTCATATAATGTGTGAACTTTGTGATGCCTCTTTCACCTAGCATAATGTTTCAGGTGTTATTTATGGTATCACATATATGAATGCTTTATTGAATGTCTTTTTAAAAATTTGCATTTAGGCATATCTTATCAGTAGATGGTGTCGGATACTACAGAATGATCTTATTGCTGTCTAAAATAGCATTATCCTGTAGATCATGGGAAGATGAATGTTTTATACAAAAATAATGTACCATTTTGAAAACTCCCTGATGCTCACATTTCATGACAATTAATCGAGGCTGTGTATTTCAAATGTGGTGGAATAAAACCTGAAAATATAAAAATTATATTGCTATGAAATTGATTTATTTGAAAAAACAGAAGATATATGACCTTTATTAATCTAGAGTTAATAGTGTCATTGTTAAATTACCATCAAATAATTCTTATCAAAACATTTGAAAAGGTAAGTATACTTTCAGAATGTATACTTCCCTTTAAATATATTTAGTGTCCACATTATAATTTATCTTGAGAAAATTAATGACTGAAAGGACACAAAGTTACACTGATTAAAATGTATTAATATGTGAAATGTGTCTATTTTTATATTGTAAGATTAGAAGGAATTTGAAGAGAAATACTCTCATGGACATAGGGTAGGGATGGGGATGATTTTTCCAAAACTTTCTGGGCTGTGGTAAGAAATTTATGGTTTTTTTTCCCCTCCCAAGTATAGTAGATTTTAAGCAGGAAAGGGACATAATATGATTTATAAGTTTAAAAAAAAATACTTAGAATGATCTGCAGATACAGGATATCCTCTATATTTGGAAAAACTTTCTTGATCACTTTCATGGTATTATCCAACATCTGTTCACTGCCAGTAGGACTTAAAATGTCCGATTTTTTTTTGTTTGTTTTTTTTTAGTTGCAGTTAATTTATATACTATAAATTCTTAAAATTTGGGGGTATAACAGCTTTCTCTGATCATCATGGACTCACAATTTTAGTGACTAATACATGATTTTAAAGCAGTATTTGCAGGTGTTTTCACCTTTTTGCAGTACTTGATAAAAGTATAAATTTTGAATTGGTTTTTGTAATTTGCATAGAAAACCACAAGTTTTTTGCAGTTGCTTTTAGAGTATTTAAAATGATTTAATACTCTTAGATGTAAATAAACTGTACATTTGAAAATGATTTTGAGAGCCTAAATTGGGACTCAGGGTGTTTGGATGTCAGTATTTTTTATATGCCATTATGGATACACTTAGAACTAACAGTCGTTTAAACAATAATGTAATAGAAGCAGGCATATCTTTGTTTATATCACTCATTATACCTCTTTACTTGAATTGTAAGAAGTCAAAATATTTTTGAAAATGTAGATGAAAAGTTGTTCAATTGTACTTGTCATTGAAGTAAGACACTTTTTTCTTTTAAAGGTTGGCTGTTGAAGGTACTAATGGAGTAGATAATCATGTACCTACAAATTCTGTAGTCCAAAATACATGCCATTTGTATATAGTTAATGGAGACAGTGCACCTTCACCTCCATCTCAGGTTGCTGCCAGACCCAAAAATTCACCAGCTCCAAAACCACTCTCATCTGAGCCTCCCAGTGACACTGGTAAGCATGGCTACTTATGAAATGTTTAAATGAAAACTAAATTAAGTTTTGTTTCTGCGCCTGTACTCCTTTATTGTGTAATCTTCTATTCTGTGATGAGAATTTTAAAGTCACAATGGCTAAATTTTTTCTGAATTTGAAATTTTCTAGATTAGGAAGATATTCCAAAAATAAGTTTGTTTACTGATTACAATGAATTTCACTAAGCAAGTGCTTACATGATCACTAAATTCTTTGGTTTTGTGCCACGAAATGCTATTTAATTTATGAAAGAAAATGAATTTCTGAAAGAACTTCAGTGAATTCCTTGGTTTGTTGGTTAGTAATGAATGATTCTGTCTCTTGGTATACATTTTTTTTTTTTATTATTATGTTGGTTTCTAACTTGGGAAAAAATGTTTATTTGATATAGCTATCAAAGTTTTATTTCTGAAAAGTAAAAATTACTCTATAATAGAAAGGATGCCTAAGGATGATTTTCTTTATAATCGTGTTTATATACCATCATGAAAATATGCCAACCATAACAGGAACAACATAATGTCTTCCACCATTCCAAGAAATACAATAAAGTTTCATAGAACTCTGCTTTATATTGCCTATTCTCCAATATAGGAAGATATGAAACATCATAATATGAATCAATTAGAAATTACTCTGCACACAGTAAAAAATATTTACCCGAGTAACAAAGTTCTTCACAATGAGGCATGAATCCATTGTTTTTTAACCTAGGAAGTTTTAAAATTCTCAAATAATAATCAATGTTAAAAAATGGAGACTAAACCTAATCATCCATCCATTTTAAATAGAATAACTTCTTTACTCTTCAAAGAGGTTGTAAACATAAAACAATAAAAAAGATCAGAACTTGTTCACCCTCATATGACCAAATGAATAACTTGGTTATATGGGATTATTACTGGATTCAGAATGGTTGAGCCCATTCCATTCTTTGTGAAAGAATAGGCTGAAATTGCTCATTTCAGAAAGTCTATTACCACCTTTTTGTTCTTGTCATCTACCTCCACTTAAAATATATGAATCTGAGAGTTTTTAGCTCTTCTTCCTAAGATATTTAGCTGTTTGAATAGATTGGTAAAAATATTTGTTGACCCTTTGCTGCATGTATATGGCTGTATTTAGATGTTGATGTAAAAAGGAGGAATTAACTGAGGCTCTGGTCATTGTAGAATCTATGCAGTCTGTCACTTTACAGAGTCTTTCTTTTGAGAATAAAAATCCATTTCATATATTACTTTATTGGTTATCCTTGCCTGAAATTTCAGAGTAAAAGTTTGACACATTTATGAGAAACTAGAAATGCAAACTCCACATAAAGAATCCCACAGCATTCAGAATGCTGTCGTAAGGAAGCCTGTGACAATCTGAGTAATGCTACTAATGGCTAATGTTTTTGTTGTACATGTTTCAAATACTGTGTATCTATTAATGGATTTAATTGTACCTTGCCTTTAATGTGTCATGCATTTTCCCCTTTTCTCTGATGAGGGAGCTGAAGCACAGAAAGGTCACAGCTAGGAAGTAGAAGAGGTATAATTGACATCCAGCTTTGTGGCTCTCTGCCTTATACTCTGTTTTCTTATTCCCTTTGATGTATGTGGTTTATATAATGTTTTGAAGGGGTAGTGCTAATTTTTTATACTATTAATTGGTTCAGTGGTACTTCCTCTGCCTTTTCGCTTCCTCTGTCTATTGTCGGAGTTGTCTGACAAAACAATCCAATAGTCATCATTCCATTGACTGGCTTACAAAAGCTTCCGGAACCTACTCTTAGTAGCAACTACTTAACTGATGTCTTTTTGTATGAGTGCCCATCCCTTACTAGGAGGATGAATTCAGGTATCTTTTTAAGGAGTGAGTAATCCCTGTCCTTTTAAGATGATGGTACAAAATGATACTCTTTTTCTTAAAGTAAGGACTTTAAAAATCAGTTGCTGTTGGAGCTGTGGGGATAAGACTAGGGCAATGCATAGTCTGTGTATAACACATAATTTCTTTAATGTCTTGTCTGCTACTATGGTTAATTGTGATTTGTCCCCCAAAGGTTCATATGTTGGAAGCTTGACCACCAATGTGTCAGTGAGAGATGGTAGGACCTTTAAAAGGTGGGACCTAATGAGAGGTTCTTAGCTCACTGGGGACATGACTTTGGGAGAAATAAGGTAGTTCTGTGGTCTCAGAAGAGTGAGCTGTTTCTGAGTGTGAGTCTGACCTCTCAGTTGCTCCCCAGCTTCCTATCTCAAAATCTGATCTCAGCTGGGCTTGGTGGTTCATACCTATAATTCTAGCACTCAAGAGGCTAAGGCAGGAAGATCACCACAAGTTTGAGACCAGCCTGGGCAATATAGTGGGTTCAAGGCCAGCCTGAACTACATGGTGAAACCCTGTCTCAAAAAACCAAACCAATCCAAACAAAACAAAATAAAAAAGAAATCTAATCTCTTGTTCTCACACATGTTCCACCATTCACCATGAGACATGGTTTGGCTGTGTAGCCCTGTCTAGCATTGGGATATATATAACCCAGGCCTGCCTCAAACTTTCAGTCTTCCTGCCTCAGCCTTTTGAGTGCTGGGATTAGTCTTATGCTACCACAGCTGGCTTTTTTCTTACCTTTTGCTTCTGAAGAATTACATATAAATTGTGCTGCTATAAGAATGGATATGCAAGTATCACTGTAATATGATGTCTGTAACTCTTTTGGAAAGATAACCTAGAAGGGGAATAGCTGGGTAAAATGGAATTTCTATTTTTATATTTTTGAGAATTCTCCATACTGATTTCCATAGTGGTTGTACTAGCTTACATTCTCACCAGCAGTGTAGAGGGTTCCTTTTTCTCTCAAGACTCACTGGCATTTGTTATTATTTGATTTTTTAATGATAGCCATTCTTGCTGGTGTAAGGTAGAATCTCAGAGTTGTTCTAATTTGCATTTCTGTAACGCCCAGAGATGTTGAACATTTTTCCTTGTAGATATTGGCCATTTGTGACTTCTTCTGAGATATGTTCATTCATTTCAGTTGCCCATTCTTATTCTACTTTATTTGAAAGAACAGTTAGAATGACAACAGCTGCTTGGTGCTGTGGGATGGGCATATCATAAAGTCATGAGAAACTGTGTGTGGTGGCACACACAGAGTCCTAACACTCAGGAGCTGGGAGCCGGGAACAGGAAGATCGTGGGTTCAATGCCAGCCTGGGCTATGTAGAGAGACCCTGTCACCCCACCCCCACTGCCCAAAAATATCTATTAGAAACTTTTCAAAATTAAGCATGAAATTAAAGAGATGTGTCCTATAACCCAAAAGTTGTAATGGCTAAAAATGAGGTTTGGGACGTGTTTTATTAAAAAATAAGTCAAGCCCGGTCTGGTGCTATACGTGTTGCTGTTCAGGACTGGCTGAGGTATGAGGCTTGCTTAAGTTTGGTGTGAGCTTGAGCAACATAGCAAGACCCTGTTCTTTTAAAGAGAAAAAAAGAGTCAAAGGATACGTGTGGTCTTACGGCTATAGGATATGGTCTTACATTTGCGGAGAAAGAAGATATTTTGCATAAGCTTCTACTGTCATACCTATCACGTAATATTTTAATTATTTACTTATCTGTGAATCTCCATAGTTCTTTATCATCTATGGGCTTATGGCTCTGTTTTTTCTCCTTTCCATTTTCCTTTCCTTCTTTCCCTTCTCTTCTTCTTTGTTGTTGTTGTTTTTGTTGTTGTTTGTATGTGTGTGAGTTTGTTTAATCACTCATATCCATTTGTCAACAGATACATGTTTTGCATCAATATTACACACTGGCCACTGCCAGGTGTCTTGATATGTGAAATATTAGTTTCTCAACCTCAGCACTATTGACATTTTTTGCCACTCTTTGTCTTAGGGGGCTATTCTGTGCATTGTAGGATGTTTAAGAATATTTCAGACCAGGAAGTGCCAGGACCATCTCATCCTTAGTCATAGAAAGCACGTCTCTAGGCCTTACTAAATGTCTCTGGAGGGCAGAGTCTCTCCTACTTGAGAACCACAGATATGTATGACCAATAAACCCTTCAATCAAAGGTAAGTATGTGGCATCTTGACAGAATTTTGATATTAGGTAACAAACTCATTGAATTATTGAAGGGAAGTAATTGATCTCAGCTAGTTTTTTATAATTAAAAGACTATATTTTAGAACAATTATAAATTTACTGAAAAATTATGCAGATAGTACAAGGTTCTCATATGCTTCTCTTAACCCATTCAGAATTTCCCCTTGTTAATATTTTGCATTACTTAGGTACAACTAATGAACCATGTCCATAGTTTTCATTGAGTCTCTCTCTTTGTGTTGCACTGGTTCTGTGGGTTTTGAGAAATTTCTGATATCATGTATATGCCATTATAGTATCATACTGGTAGTTTCTCTGGTCCAGAGTTTCCATGCTTTATCTATTCATCTCTTCCCCTGAGGCCTTAGAAACCACTGATTTTTTTTATTGTCTCCACAGTTTTGCCATTTCCAAAATGTCAGATAGTTGAAATTATAGTATATAGTATTTTCAAATTGACGCTTTTCGCTTAGCAGTGTGCATTTAAGATTATTCCAGGTAGTGGTTCTACCGCCTGCCTTGCAAGCGCAAGGATCTGAGTTCGATCTCCAGTACCAAAAAAAAAAAAAAAAAAAAA